GGAGGAAAGCAGACGGTGGCTGCAACGACTGACATACTTGGGAGAGCAGAGAGAGCTTTGGGGAAATTTCCTGAGTAAAATGAAGGGGAGCGTACAAATGAAGCGGACTTCTGCCTATTTATAACTCTGGCACGGGAAGCGAGGCATCACTAGGCACTCAAGTATCCCTACTCCTAGCCGCCTTAGGCATTTATTGCTCTTGACATGTGACCCTAAAAGACACCACACGTGTCCTTTCAAGTCCTTCTCCTGCTCGAGATCAAACATGCCCGTTCCCTTTCGCTCTCGTCATACCATTGGCCAAATCACCCGCCGGGGCATATCCCTAGGAAAGCAGGAAAAGAGCCAAGATTACCTCTGGAGAACAGGCCTCCCCACGAGCTCCTTTCTTGTCGGGAAATTGTTATCCCTGACCACGCGCTTCATCCCCAGGTTTAGTGTTTCGGGCACGCACGCCGCTCCCCTTAGACAAGTTCTCGACGCTAGAACTGACTCTTAAGTCATTACTTCACTGCTTCAGAGCAACAACTTAGGGGCTCCTGTTTTGAACTGGGCCAGAGGCTGGCTCAACTCAGCTCCTCGTTGGGGAGGGTCCAATGAAGGCTCAATTCATCAACGCACATGGGGAGCCCTCACACGTCTCCCTCACGGTTTCCACGTGTCCCTCACGTGGGACACATCATTAGGCAACTACCCACCTCTCAAAGATCTCAGAACAATTGACCTAGGACGAAGACCACATGCTGGTCTTCCCTATGCCACGTAAGTCATGGCAGTTACTCGTATTGGGCCTTGCAACCCAACCCAATGTAAAGTAACCGCTGGCTCAGTGCTGGAGACACGCTATAAATACCCTTTTTCACTAGAGGGTCAGGTATTCCATTCTTTCTAAACCTTCTCTGTACTTGCTCTTTCTACTACATCTCTTACTTTGGCATCGGAGTACCTTGCAGGTAACCCTCATCATCTTCTCCACCACCGGTGAATTGAAGAACTCACAACGTGTTGCTGACTGTCAATCCTTTTCTGATACGGTAAAATCAAATACAATTAATGAGAAAAAACACAAAAAGAAAAAGAGAATGTAATTCAACTCAAGAGTTGGAGCTTCTCCCAATATTCGTACATGTGTAATATCTTTACTAATTTATTTGTCTTTCTTATGTGAGCAATGAATAACTAATTTCTTTGTTATGCATAATTAACTTGTTTTGAGAATAACCTTGTACCTTTAAATTACTTATGCCTTTGAATTATTATGTTACTAGTATTGTTCGTAATATTTTTTTATTGATTGATCGCTAATCAAAACGATTTATAGTTTACTTTGTGAAACAAGAGTAGAATTAGTAAACATTTTGAACTAGATATTCTTGCCTACCACTACTTAAGAATATGTATGAATCCTTGAAACTCAAATATTTCGGTTGACTCTAAAAGTTTAACTATAAATTTGCAATTCGGTAAAGGGATTGAGGATTTATTTAAAGGGTAAGAAAAACTTAAAAATAAATAATATCATAGAATAACATCTTTAATTGACAAAGTCAAATAAGGAGTGTAAGAAAAACTCAACGATACCCTTATTCCCAACATCTTTTTATTATTAATTTTATAAATCTTAATTTTTATTATATCTCTCAAACTAATTCAAAAACTTTGTGTTAACTAAACTCAGTTATTGTGTCAGATACTTAGTAGTTCTCACCATGATATTTATGGCAATTTGGTACACTTTGCTAAATCGCCCATCATTAATCTAAAATATGGGATGTCTTCCATGTTGATCCAAAATTTGTAATCAACTCCATGTCTTGTAGAAAATTGAGTTAATCTCAATGTATGGCATAAATTAATCTTCATTGATTTATGTATTGATATAAAAGATAAGTTGAATTCTATGTTGATCCAAAAATACCTGGTGTCTTCTATATCAGACCAAAAAAAATGAAATGGGTTGACCTCCATATTAGGCATAAATATCAGGTTATCATTAAGAGTGGTTATGTAAACTGTCGAACCGAACCAAAAATTAAACTGAATTAAAGTTAAAATAATCAAACCATTATGTTTAATTAGTGAAGTGAACATGTATTGCAGAAACAATTTTAGAACCGAACTAAATGAAAAATAAGTCAAACTAAAACTAAAACTAAACTAAATCGAAATTGAAAATAAAAAATGTTAAAAACTAGTTTAAACTTTTTTATTAAAAAGAAAATAGAATAAATATAACAGTTTGTTTCATTAAAAAATAATTCGCTTAGAGAAAAGTTGTCTTCTAACGGTTTGGTATGATTTTGAATTCTGAACTAGTATATTAAACAAATTATTTTGGTTTGGTTCAGTTATGGGTGAATTGAAACGGTTGAGTTTGGGTGACCTTTTACTATAGTTTAGTTCAGTTCATTTTGACTTTTTGACTGAATTGTATTATAAATAGCCCTAGTTATCAGGCTAACTTAAAATTAAAAAACTTAGGCTTTACTCCATCCACTTAAAGGTATAATTGATTTAGTTTGAACTAGTTTTTTTGTCAAAAAAGGTTTGAACTGCTAATGTTTCCATCGATTTGGTTCAATTTTGGTGTTTTTCAAAAATGGATCCAAACCAAAAGTAACCAACTTGCTTCTGTTTTGGTTCGGTTTGGTTGATCAGTTTATAGCATTTTTTTTAATCATTACATTAATTTGTGTATTCTTCACTATCATGTTTTTTCAGTGATTTTTCTGCTATTATTTTTTCAAATAACACATTTCATATAATCTATTTCATCTATTTCATGCTCTAGTTTTCAAACAACTTTCAAGTTGTACTTAATCCATACAAAGCAATTACATGAATTCTATTGCATTATGAAATAAGTTCAATTATCAAATACAACAGTTGGTACGTGACACTGGCTAATACAACCAAAATAAGTTCATCATCCCATACAAAATTTGACCCAAAAGATGTTTGTTCATGTTAGTAGGTTAATTCCTTTAACTATTGCATGCATAAACTTTGCTACAAAAGATACATTTAACCTTATCTTTGTCCCTTGTTAAGTATAACCAATCATTTTAAGGTTTGGAATGGATTGAATTGAAATCTTGATAAATAAAATACAACAATAATAACAAAATGTTGAAATACACAAAAATTAACATGATTTATACTTCAAATACACCTTAAAACTATTTTGTAACAAGATTAAAAATAATTTTATTGAAGAAGAAGAAGAAACAAAAAAAAAGGTAAAAACTTTAAAAGAAGAAGATGGAAATTGTTCAAAAAAACATGAAACATGAAGAAGGCGATCGAAATAAAGAAAAACGACAATAGCTAGAGTAATAGTGGTGGTGGTCGACAAAGAGCATTAGTTTAGTGAGAGCAAACTTTTGTGACTTAGGATCTCTATTTTCTATGTTTGGAGTTTGGTTTAAAATGCATGTTTTGTTAAAAGGAAGAAAACGTAAACAGAGGTGGAGAAGGGTTTGGTCTGTGGAGAAGGGTTTGGCCGGTGCAAAGTGTGGGTTTAATAATGGACTGAATAAAAGATGAAGTAGTAATTAAAATCTTTGGTCCGATTCACCGATTTATTGGTTCCTAAAAACTAAAAACAAAAAATAAAAATCAAACAAAATTACTTCAATTTTCATCGGTTGGGTTCGGTAAAACCAAGCGGAAAAAAAAATCATTTTTCCAATTTTATTTAATTTAAATTGTCCATTTAATCCGATTTTTCTTATCCACTTACCCTTGCATTCAGTAAGTTAAAGTGAGGACACTTATAGATACGTCGACTTGACATTTAAGTCATGATAATTTCATTTTCTAAATAAAATATGACAAACGATTTACTACACACAAATATAATGAAATATTTGTTGCTTTACAAAGTCAGAATTGATCATGGTGATTTTTAAATGCTCTAAATAGAATTGCAGGAAACATTTTCCTAACATCTAAATAAAGATTTGTTGTATAAATCAATTGGATTAGGAATAACAAATAATTACCTCTTGATGTGTACTCAAAGCCTTCTTCTTGAAGAGATTAAGAGTCTCACTTGAAACTACTCTATTTAATCCATCAGAGCAAAGATTAGATTGAATACGAAAGACTTTAAGAGAGTATTTGAAACGCCTTTTGTAGAGAAAGTGGAATTGAATTTTGTTATCTTTTTTAAATGAAAATTCAATCCTATTTATAATCTACTAATTATAATTATATTTAATTTAATAATTAAATATTATTGTAATGTTTGATTTCTTAGTAAATGGAATGAAATTCAATTTTACAAAAGAAAACTGACTTCAATTTATAATCTAACTTTTGATTTTTCCGTAAATGGAATGAGATTCAATTTTTCAAAAAAAAAAAAACTAACTTCTATTTTTATAATTCAATAATTCTAAAAAAATTTCAAATAAATTAATTCTTTAATTAATAATAACTCTTTATTATTAATACTTCTCTCAATATATCCTTTCATAAACTCTTAGAATGTGACTTCGTAGAATCCAATTATAATAGCAATAAGTTTCAAAAAATTTTACCCTATACCCCTACACTAAAAAAATTGGGACCAAAATACCCTCGTATAAATAGTTATAATTTTAGAAATTTTACTTTTCCATTTCATTTGCATTTGAAGACTTCCGGAACTACTATTTTTCATCTACAAATCGGAACACTTAGCATAAGTCTTTCGGTACACAAAGTGTAAACTGGAACACATTTCAGAAGTCTTCTGGTTCATAAAACATATACCGGAACTCTTAGAGTAAGTCATCCGGTGTTGTAAGCTTTCCGGAAGTCATTGATGAAGACTTCGGGTTTTTGTTTTTTTCGTTTCGTTTTTAAATTCACCGGAAGTCTTTTTGCAAGTCTTCCGGTTCATTTTTTTTTATTTTTGATTTTTTTCTTATGTTTTTATTTTGGTAGTGGTGTGCACACGAGGCAGAGATGGTAGGATCCCTTTTCGCGGACTAGGACGGGACGAATCATCGAGAATGGCTGAAGAAGAGCATATTGATGCACCTGCATCAATAACCGAGCCTGTTGGATATCCAGGAGGACCGTGCGATACCTCTCTTTTAGTTAAGTACGAACACCATATTGCTAGACATATATGGTTCGGTGAGGTAATTAAATAAAAATTATTTAATATTGAATGAAACTCAAATTTTTAATGTTGAATTTTATAATATATTTACTTTTAATTGTTTTCAGGAGAGAGGTTCGAAGAAAGAGTTAAAGTTAGCAGAACATGGGTTGAAGTTGATTCAAAGGGTTCCACTATAGCTACCAAGAGAGATGGGGGGTTAGATATCTAGGTTTGGTCTAGCTTCACTCCAGAGAACCAGTTTGACAAAGATAGACACGAACCTGGTTTCCGCATTTGCAGAGAGATGACATCTATAGACATCTTCATTTCACATGCCGTTTGGTGAGATGACGATTACTCTAGATGACGTCTCTTGTCTGCTTCACTTACCCATCAGGGGAGTCTTCTGGAGCCCTCAAGATATCAATGAAGGACTTGCTATTGAGTGGGTTGTTGATTACTTAGGAGTGTCAAGAGAGTGACACAGCAACAAGTCCGTGACTGCAGGGGTTCTTATTATAAGTTGGAGTGGTTATATGATCGATTTGTAGAGCATAAAGCTGCTTCTAGATGGGATTATGCGACTAGAGCTTATCTGTTGATGTTAGTGGATTCCCCTATTTTTGCGGACAAGACGTTTACGCTTGTCGAGGCAAGATACCTATCATTATTTATAGACTTGGAAGGGTTATCAAGATATAGTTGGGGAGCAACTGCGTTTGTTACCCTCTATAGATATCTCGGAGATGCTTCCATGTTCAGTTGTAAGCAGCTCGGTGGTTATCCGACTCTCCTATAGGTATTCATTTTAATTTAGTATATTTTGTTTTAATTAATTTTATTTAGTATATTAATTTTATTTATCTAGTTTATATGTTATAATTAATTATTTTAAATTTAATAATAATATTAATTTTGTAACAGTGCTGGATTCATGAGTATTTTCCAACACTTGAAAAAAAAAGAGAGAATTGGATACCAGCTAATAATGTGGGTCTCCCTCGAGCGATGAGATGGTCCGATAGGCAAGGTGTCCTGAAGGTGGATGACTTGCGACCTATTCTGGACGAGCTGACACCTGTCGATGTCATATGGCGCCCATTCGAGAATCATAGAGTATGGCGTCAGTTTGATGAGTTATGTCTATATAGGGGGTATCTGAGGTGGGGTGACACTATTGTTCCATACTTGTCTGACATATGTATGCGTCAGTTTGGATATAGGCGGTATGTTCCACATCCACCTCTTGATTATACGAGGGCTGGTGATATTGATGTTGAGTGGATTAGTTACCATCAGAGCGTTCGGGATGTGATTCGTCTGACAGCACTGGACACCACCCCATATGAGACAAATGATGGATATCTTCAGCGGTATTATCGTGTTTCGCATCCTCGTCTGGTACCACCCCATCATGATGCGCCAAGAGAGGTGTCAGCTCATGTTTATGAAGTAGGACCATCTGATCCTAGTTGGGCTTGTTAGAACACAGATTGGTTCTTAATAGTTACTCTTTGTTTTGATGATAACTGTAAGGAAATTTATATTTAAGAATTATATACTCTAAAATTTGTTTGAGAGTTTTATTGCAGATTAAAATTATATTAACTCTCTAGAAGCAAATCTGCCTTGAATACAAGAAGTTATTCTGACTCTGAAGCGCCAGATGCACCTTACAGAAGAATCTGTTTGCTCCTTACAGAAGATCTTGAGCGTAGTCTCCAGAAGGATCTGAAGCAAGAAGCTCCAGAACATTCTGAGTTAGAAGCATCTGAAGATAGTCAGAAGCATCTGAAGATAGTCAGAAGCATCTGAAGATAATCAGAAGCATCTGAAGCTGAAGCATCAGAAGTATGAAGAATATTGATTGAAGAGTTTCTCAAAGCATTAGTCTACAGAAGTTTCTGAAAGTACCTATGCTGCCTTGTACTGAAGTTCTGTGTCAAAATGCTCTGATGATCAACACGCTAGAAGCACACACGCTGCAGAAGACTCTGATACAGCATAGTTCTGAATCTCATCAGAAGACTCTGATCCATTCAAACTCTGAAGAACTTGCTGAAACTGAAGAAGTGTTTTCAAGAATGTATCCGTTGGAACTATTCAACGTCTCTTTCCTTATTTGTGCTAGACACACTTACACAGACAAAAAGGATTTATCTGTGCCATCTATTTCAAGGAAAGGTCAGTGCATGTGAAGACAAAAAGGCTCAGACCTTTTGGACTCTCTTTTCAATGTTCAACTTGCATGATTCAGCTGCCTATAAAAGGAGATCTTCACTTCATTCTTCAGGGCTACACGCTTGCTGAAAAGAAATCATAATATTCTCTAAGCTCTCACTCTTATTCTTCTTAGAATCTCATTGTACTTAAACTTAAGAGAAAAATCACTGTTGTGATTATAGCTTTATAGAATCATTAAAAACTCTTGTATTTAATTTACATTGATTGTAAAGGATATTCCTTAAGAGGATTCAGTGTGAATCAATAGCTCTTGAGAAGACTAAGAACTGTAGTTCTTAGGTGATACTATTGTAATCAGTTTGATTTAATAGTGGATTAAGTCCTTGTTGAGAAAGGCAAATCACTCTGGAAGGGTGGACTGGAGTAGTTGTTTAACGAACCAGGATAAAAATAATTGTGTGATTATTTTCAAGTATTAATTTTCCATACTTATTCAACCCCCCTTCTAAGTATTATCTCACCTTCAGTTGGTATCAGAGCTCCGGTTCTGAGTGTGCTATCACTTAACAGTGTCAGTAAAGATCCAGAGAGAGATATACTTTGATCTATATATTTATTTGTTATCATGGTTGATAATTCAATGTCAAATATCAACAATAAATATGAAGAGAGGGATAGGATCAGTACCAAACCTCCAATGTTTGATGGAGAAAAATTTGACTATTGGAAAGATAGAATAGAAAGTTTTTTTCTTGGGTATGATGCTGATCTTTGGGATTTGGTCATTGATGGATATGAACATCCTACTGGTGAGGATGGCAAAAAGATTGATAGAAAATCAATGACTGAAGTGCAGAAAAGAGATTTCAAGAATCACCACAAAGCCAGAACTATATTGCTTAATGCAATCTCTCATACTGAGTATGAGAAGATTACTAACAGAGATACTGCTCATGACATGTTTGAATCACTCAAAATGACTCATGAGGGAAACTCTCAGGTGAAAGAGACCAAGGCTCTGGCACTCATACAGAAGTATGAGGCATTTAAAATGGAAGAGTCTGAAAATGTGGAAACTATGTTTTCTAGATTTCAGATTCTTACAGCTGGTCTGAAAGTTCTGGACAAGGGCTACTCAACGTCAGATCATGTCAAGAAAATCATCAGAAGTCTTCCCACCAGATGGAGACCAATGGTGACTGCATTGAAGATGGCAAAAGATCTGAACAAGATCTCCTTAGAAGAACTTATCAGTTCTTTGAGAAGCCATGAAATTGAGCTGGAGGAAGATGAACCCCAGAAGAAAGATAAAGGTAAATCCATAGCTTTAAAATCTAACAAAACTGCTAAAGCTTTGCAGGTCATTCAAGAAAGCTCTGAAGAATCTTCTTCTGAAGAAGAAGATGAGTTGTCCATGCTGTCCAGAAGGATTAACAAACTCTAGAAGCACAAGGGAAAGAAGTTTAACAACTTCAGAAGATCTGATAACAGAAAGGAATCTTCTAGTCATAGAAGATCTACCAAGAAAGAAGTGGTGTGCTATGAGTGCAAAGAACCTGGGCACTACAAGAATGACTGCCCCAAACTTCTGAAGGAAAAACCTAAGAAGAAGTTCAACAAGAAGAAGAAGGTTATGATGGCAACATGGGATGACTCAGATGAGTGTGAGTCATCTTCTGAATCAGAAGAAGAATGTGCAAACGTTGCACTGATGGCCAGGACAGAGGATCAAGAGGAAGGTACCTCTGGATATGAATCAAAATCTGAATCTGATGATGATGCAGAAGAGGTAATGGCTAAACTTACCAAAGAAGAACTCATTAAAGTTTTAACAGAAGTTCTTAAAAGTTATAACAACATCAAACTCAAATACAAGAAGCTGAAAAGCAATCTTGAATCTGAGATTAATCTTCTGAAAACAGAACTTGTTGAGCAGAAAGAAATAAATTTAAAAATCAAAAATGACTTTGATAGAACTCAACAAGAATCTGATTCTGAAACTAAGTCTTGTGAAAATATTTTAGAAAAATATGACTCTAGTTTTCAGAGGTTTCTCACTAAGAGCATAGACAGAAGCAAGATGGCTTCCATGATCTATGGTGTTAGTGGAAACAACAGAAGAGGCATTGGATATGAGTCTTCATCTGGAAGCAATCCAAAACCTGTTGACAAACTTTTCATCAGGAAGACACCTCTGTACTCTCAATTCAAATTTGGTCACTTGAATGACATTAAACACACAAGCTCTGAGAAGAGTACTTATGTGTTTAAACCAAAGGCAAGTCAGAATAAACATTATGTTGCAAAACAGAAGTTTAGACAAACCTGCAAACCAACTAACCCCAAAGGACCCAAGAAGATCTGGGTACCTAAAAACAAAATAATTCCTGTTGCAGATGTTCTTAGCAGCAAAGTCAGGACACCAATCATGGTACCTGGACTCTGGATGCTCACGACACATGACAGGAGAAAGGTCTATGTTCCAAAGCCTGGAACTTAGATCTGGAGGGGACGTGAAGTTTGGAGGGAACCAGAAGGGCAAGATCATTGGATCTGGCACTATTGGAAATGGTAAACTTCCCTCTATTACTAATGTTCTGTTAGTTGAAGGATTGAAACATAATCTATTGTCCATAAGTCAATTAAGTGACAATGGTTATGATATAATCTTTAATCAAAAATGTTGCAAAGCTGTATGTCAAAAGGATGGTTCTATCCTATTCAGTGGAAAGAGGAAACACAACATTTATAAAATTAACCTTTCAGAACTTAAAGTTCAAAATGTAAAATGCCTCTTATATGTGAATGATGAGCAATGGGTCTGGCATAGAAGATTGAGGCATATTAATATGAGACGTATATCTCAGATTAATAAACTCAATCTGGTCAGACGACTTCCTAAGTTGAAGTTCAACTCAGATGCTCTGTGTGAAGCATGTCAAAGAGGTAAATTTTCAAAATCTCATTTTAAATCAAAAAATGTTGTTTCTACCTCCAGACCATTGGAATTACT